TAGCCCAAAGCGTTTCAAGAAACCACAAAAATGATCAGAAACCATAAAATTAGAATCATGAAAAAAACTGCCAGGGAGGGGGGACTCAGAAAGAAAAGTCTTCAAATTGTTAGCACCAAATCTATTAAAAAATTCAGAACACCATTAAATACAAAAAACAAAATTTGTTTGTCCTAACCTTCTATTGGAAATCTCTGCAAAACACTTTCAAGTAAATAAACTATAGAGGAAAAAAAAGAAAATAATATCTGAATGACTAAAGAAAACAGTTACATCGAAATAATTACCAACGGTTTTGATCACATACCTGAATTAGTATACTTAATACTCAACTACTGAAACGAGAAATTGTTCACATGAACAAGTAATGTAAATTACTGATGATTATTTTTGAGGCTTCGAGGCTTTCGGATATAGCTTTCCATGCATAGTAGTCTTTGGAAACATTTCCGTACTTTAAGTAGTCGTTATACATATTTTTACCTTTAGAAGACATTCTCGCGGAAATATTATAGAGATATGCACCCGTAATTTGAAGAGTATTAGGCCAAAAGTGTCAGGTATCTAGTTTCAGTATCACCGGCTTTTAATAGAGTACGAACAGTTCGTGAAAACGGTCACAATCTTACCATAATTTACCAAATGTTGTAGACCAAACCACTGCAACGATTGTTGCTCTTCAACTATGTTTAGCACTTAGAATGATATGGAATAATTATTTTATTAAATAGTACACATTGATAAGACATTTTTCTTTGTAATTATTAATGTAAATGATTTGTCGTGTGTGAATTACTGCTGCATCGAAACAACTTCACGGCATTTTAGTTGGTTGCTATTGACGTTTTGTATTCACGTTTGAACTTGCTCGAAATATTAACGCTCCAGGCATGGTGAATGAAAGTTGAATAATAGAATCATAAATAAGTCTTAATAAAACACCGAAGATTTCTATAGAATTTTTTTATTTACATAATATTACTAAAATATTAATATCGAATCAAGAAAACTAAAGACACGGCCGTCGGATGGCCTTCAGTTTGATTAAGCGCGATGCTGTAGCGATCTTCAGTCTTGAAAATCGCGGGCGGTTCGGTCCGCTCGGCTATGTTTATTTAGTTTATCCTTTCAGGCCTCAACATCACCATACCCCGCCACCATACTGTGAACATACTTCCACCGCATCATACTTGAACCATATTCGTTAATCTATAGTGTCGCTAATGTCCTAGTTGTTGAGCGACCTTAAAAAATAAAAATAAAATGCTAAGACACTTTCATTACAGGAAATCGACGGAAGGCTAAGATGACGTAATGGAGGAATTGTGACAAGAAGCCACTGAAAGATCGTACTGCGCCCCTGCCTAACTGCGGTGTGCTTTCGCGGACATGTCCCCTTTATTATAAATGCGCGGTCAAAACTTACGAGAGTAAAATAAATTGCCGGCTCCCCCAGAGCAAGGAGGAGCGCTGGTTCAAACAACTAAAGTGGCATATTGAGCGAGTAATATTATTGCAGTTTATATGACATGCTTACAATATTTGTTAATTACTCCAAATTGGATGGACTCTCTCACAACAATGGAACTCGAACAAAATAGTACACACATCGCTTTAAATTGTGAAGAAGAGAGTTAACTTCTTTGTGCATGCCACGGTATAATATCTGATGATTTGATTTACTCGAAACTTGTTTTATGATCCGAAATTTCTTTATTTAAGAGTTGCTTCATATACGCCGTGTACATTGTTTACCCACGTGAAAATTGATAAAGTGTTCCATTTTTCAACTATGTGAGTGCAATGTTTTTTAAACATGTTTGGAACTACGGATTAAATTTTAAGAGTGAATTTTAAACATCTTATTTACTTCTATTCAATAGATAAATTTTAGACGAACAGTATTAGTTTACAAAGCAAATATTCGTACAAGAAAATCAACAACTCACAAGTTCCTTCATAATTTTTTTTTAGTCATCTTCATATTATTAGTTTTTCATCTTTGTGGAACACATACCAAATCTCTTATCGTATATTATGTGCATTATACAATGTAGATTCTGGCAGTTTTGTTTACCAGTGGGAAATAGATTATAAAAACATATGCTTTTCAATAACTTATGAAAGATTTTTTATTAAGTAAGAAGACATCATTGTTGATGGCCAACTTTAATGTGTCAACTGTTCATCTATATCATGGTTTTAACAACAGATATGAAAAAAACAAGAGAGATTATATTTAAGACTAATTCATAGGAATGTGAATGACCCTGATTGTTAAAATACAAATCTTAAGGTAAAACTAAAAAAGTTGGATTTAATAAAAAGTATCTTACCAAAACCACTAAGAACAATTATTTCATGAACTCTCCAGATATAAAATTCCATAAAATCATGTAAAAATCGGGGTTTTATATTTTCAAAGATTGCTAATTATTTGCAATGCTGTAGATTATATATCAAATTAATGCATATAATGAATCCTTACTGAGATAAGGAAGATTAAATTACAAACATTGAGTCTTCTTACCTTATTCAACCCAACCTTCATTTTTCACTCTAAAACACGCAAAATTTAAAATCGTACATATTCAAACATAGTTTTGAAAATTAAGAAATTTCAACCAAATTGTTTAAGTAAAATTCAGTAATATAATTAAATAAATAACTGCAAATAACTAATTTGTCATCATTAATTCTCACCGCTTCCTTTCCAGTCTCCACATACAGCTGTTGACAAGGTACTCCTTTGAACTTTGATACCTTCTTTCTTTCTCAACCTAAATTGTTGATCACTTTATCTGATTTAAATACTTAAAAGCTACTGTATAAATTAAATTAGATTAATTTAAAACCGGATTATTTTATTTTTTATTTAAAAAATAAGTGTTTGTGGGTTTCATTTGTAGCATCTTGAGGGAGCAAAAATATCTCTAATGGTAACTTGGTTACGTCCACTTTTTTGAATGTTTCTTAAATAAATATGCATGAAATTGCGATATCATGACTTTATTTATCCTCAATGAGAATTACTATCAAGAACCCTCCTGATTGTTTAGAAAATTCTTTATAAACGGTTACTTACTATTAGAATATAAGAATAGAATTTTTAAACTTTAAAAAATGTCTCTGAATAACCACTGATATTATTTTATAATACCAAATAATATCCATAAAATAATAATTTAATTAAATATAGAGTGCTTATTCAATAATTTAACACCATTTTGTGTTTTATCCCACCCTATTCATATAAAATTTTATTTGAAATAATATCTGAACTGCAAAACAAAATTAGAATAAAAACACTTTAAAGCAAAGTAAGATCATCAGAAGTACAAGCAGTTCATAGGTGACTGATTGTTTGTAATGTCTTTCTCTAAAAATATTATAAAAACATTGTATCAACGTAAAAAATGAGTGAATTATTCCGTGCTGCATTCATTTGTATGATGATTTTTAAAATATTTAATTTTAATTAATTTTGACGTGCACACACCCCACAAAGATATTATATTTTTTCCTATATTAATTTATTTGACTTCAAGTAATTTGTATATTCATTAGTGTTCATACATTTGATCTTATAATTGTCGATTTTAATTTATTAAATCAAAAATGACGATTCTTATAAAATTTCGTATACTATAATTTTTAAAAAAAAAAATATTGTTCCATTTCATTACTCCGTTTGATTAATTACGTAAACTCGATTGTACGATAGCCTAAACAGCGACATAGCGTGACAACTCATACAAAAATACCAAATATTGTTATACATAATTTCATTTAATTCTGAAATTGAGACAAATATCATGTGAACATATTTATACTACAATACGTCACCGACTAGTAACTAAGAGGTAAAATATCATTTCGAGCTCTTGGTACCTACGAGAAGCGGAGAGAGTTTACGTTCAGTAAGATAAGCGATCCACTTGCCTTAAAAAGGAAGCCGACAGTAGAGAATCAGGTGAGCCTGTCCCTGGCAGCAACCGGCCACCTTGAACAGCCAGCAGTCCAGGTATTTTGTGAGTATCGATATTGGTTGTGTTTCACCTTCGATCCTTGGAGTAAGTTGTGTTTTTTTAATTACGTGCGTTCGACGTGATTAGAGGACGCCATGCCAGTCCCGGTTCGCCGCTCCACTCGCCGCCTCGCCCGCCCGTCCTCTGAAGCTCCAGCGGACGGCCTTCAGCCTCAGCCTAGCGTCGGACCTCGGGGCTGCAGCGAGCGCAGGCGAGAGCTCGCTAGGCGCGGCCCCTGGCCGAGAGCGCCCCGCGGGAGGCGGCGTTGGAAGGCGCCCGCCCTCTTCGCCCAGCTCTGACTTCCTCTCATCCCTCGGCAGAGCTCTCGATGGGCCTCTTGGACGGCTCGAGCCGAGAGCCTCTGTGGCGACGCGGCGGCGGCGCTGCGTGTTCTTGCGGCGCGTGCGCAGTCTGCCCGCGTGCAGCGTCTGCTGGTGCGGCGTACGCCGGCGCCAAGGGCCTACCCGGGCTGCGGTCTTGTCGGTGGCAGAAGTCCGTCTTGCTTGCGACAGCGGTGTGCAGGCGTGGGCTTCTTGTTGCGCGCGTTTGCCCCATCGTTCGCAGACTGGTCCATGCAAGGCCCGACGTGGCTGATAGTCGTTCCTTGCGTTTCGTTGCTCCAAATCAAGAGTCAGGTTGGACAAAATGCGTATCCAAAACTGCTAAATCTCTTTACTCACTTTAGCTATCTTGCAGTGTGCGTATGCGCGAAAGACTACGTGGCGAACGCGTTCTCCTGTTCACGTGCGCGCTGCAAGTGTCTACTACTATTGCTCGGCATGTTTCAAGAGGACTAATCTCCTCTTTCTTCGTCCTTATTTAAAATAGTTCCATAAATCTTGCTCGTAAAACGATTAATTTTATAAGCGATTTTGTTGTTCCTAATTTCTTATACTAAATAACATTTCTTATGCGCTGATGTTGTTCTTCATTCCTTGCGCAACATTCGGTGAGCAGCCTAACTTTACCCGACGTATCCTCAATTCGTGCAGACTTTGCTAGGCTCTTTTAAAATATACCATTTACTTGCGATCTCTTGTGTAGTATAGTTTTTTGTTGGTTTGTTTTTTTTTCTTATAAAATTTATTCTTTTTGTTTTCTTCGGCTGACTCCCCCCTCTCCCCCAATTGTCAGAACGACGCCTTCACTACGCAACGTTTCTTTAAACGTAACTTGATGCCAAATATACCCGTACAGAAATTTAGCAAATACCACCCACCATTGCTAGCTAAACTACTTCATATGGACTGTGTAGCATGCATCAGGAGGAGTGTAGATTCGTCAACGATCATATAAGACGTGTTGAGTGTTCCAAGTCGCGCATCTGGGCTTTGTCAACAAAGCGCTCAAGGGCGCCGGCGCAAAAGTTGATCAGGAGAGACGGGTGTAATCGAATTAAGGTAAAATATTTCGAAGCGTCTTTGCCAGAGCGAATTTCGAAGGCAAGTGTTGTGGAAAATAAGTTGGTAAACCCTCTGATTACATACCGTTCAGCTATGCTACCAAACGTCATAGACGATGTTTTGTCATTGATTTGTTAATGAATTATATTAACAAGCAACTGTCTTTGCAAATGGTGTGTGTGAGAGAGGGGAGGAAGAAGAGGCGTTCGCCACCCTAACGCATGACCAGAACCGTTCATGATCCGAAAATAATAAGTTTTCTGTTGAATATTCGTTGGTATTTCGGCCGCATGATTTACTTTCTTCTTACGATGTTGGACGAGAAAGTATAACTTGTGCGTGCTACAAATGCAGCCTTTGTCGACTAAAAGTTTTGGAATTTCTTGTGTGGACTGGTTGAGTCAAGCTCCTTCCCTTGCAAGCTGCCCATCTATGCGGCCGCCCAAAAGTAATTTTTTTTTACATTTTCTCAAATTTTTTCTTCAGGTTTCTTAATGGAACAGAATATTTACTACTATAATATTAAAGTGAGAGAAAAATCTCGTTCTTCAACTTCGCAATCTTGTTTTAAAAAAATTGCGGCTGTTTTAATGGAATTGGCATTTGGGCGTGTCAGTATATGTGAAAATTTGAAGAAATCTTCACAGAGAAGTTAATTTGAAGTACTTTATATCGCAAATGCAATAGTGTTTACTAAATCGCCTCAAATGTGCATATCAACAGCGTGTGAGATTTATGATAAAATCCATTGGTGTAATGATAAAATTAAAATGATATACAGCAAAATGAACTTGTCATTTTATCAGGTGCAATTGGCCTACCGTTGAAAAATACAAAATAATTTTGAGTCTTTTTAGAAAATGGGCGTTTATTAATTCTGAAAAATGCAGACTTTGAAGCTCATTTGTAAATCAGAAACTGTTGAGGTTCGAGAAATTTTTATACAACATTATTTAAGATACACTATACTCGGTAAATATATATTATAAGTGAACAAATCACTGCTAACGTGAACAGCTTAGAGACAAGTCAATATGTATTATTATTAGTTATTATGATTATTATTATTATTATGAATTATTATTATTATTATTATTTTATTATTCATTATTATTATTATTATTATTATTATATATTATTATTATTATTATTTATTCAATTATTATTATTATTATTATTATTATTAATTATTATATTATTATTACTTATTATATTATTATTATTATTATTATTATATTATTATTATTATTATATTATTATTATTATATTATTATTATTAATTCATATTATTATTATTATTATTATTAATTATTATTCATTCATTATTATATTATTATATTATTATGATTGCGATTATTATTATTATTATTATACGATGAGTTGAAATAAAAAGAAGAATGCAATATGCATTTGTCATCTATAGTGCATTTAGCACTATTCCTAACATAGCGTACAAAGAAAAAAATTGCCAGCGGTTTTTGGAGAAAAATCTTATTTTTGTAATTTTTTAAATTGCAAACATATTGTCACACATATTGCCCTTGAAAGACTACTTCAGAGAATAAAAAATGTACATGATTTAATGAAAGAGACTAATAATGAAAACCAATTTCATTTTGAAGGAAAAATCTCTAACTTCAATTTATGGAGTTGTAGAAAGACCTCGAAAAAATTAAACTTAGCTAATATTTTGTGAATGATAGTTAACCGTGAAATAGCGATCTGTCACATTTATAAGTGTATTTTAAAAACAATTTTTCACAAAATTTAAAGAAAAAAATTGTAGTTAGTTTTTGAAAAATTTGACAGTGTCTGGTTGGGCGGGTGGGGGGCTTTGGCTAATGAGTACCCCCAAATTCGAAGGCAATTTTTTCATAATTTCGCAAGCATCTCCAGGTTCGGCGTCTTCCACCGGCGAGTCTCTTCAGGGTACTGAAGTACCTCAGTTAGCCTATTCTGCAACCGACGCCGGCGTCACCCGGACACGCCTAGAAGTTATGACCGAGCCGCGGAAGCCTACGTTGTACATGTTTCCGAATATTGTTGTGGTATTGTGGTTATTGATATATCGATAAGGAAAACCTGCTATTTTTCTATCAATGTACGTTATATGGGTCCATTATTATTCATTATTGTATATTGATTTATTATTAATTATTAGTAACTGCTACTGTGCAGTGGAGTGGCGTGTGAAAACTGGAGGGTAACGTACGTAAGAAGATATTTACAGCTCATGATTTGCAGGTGCGATAAGTTGATGATGAAGTGAAGTGTGGGAGGTGGAGTGCTGTGAAAGATTGCACGGAGAAATGTTCAAGTTAATTTGTAAAGTTTTGAAATTTTGTAAAGTTGTTAAGTTCAGTAATATTAAGTTAGTGTATTCTACCACCAAATTCTTAAACTGAATTGTAGATTTAGTAGTAAATCTAAAGTATCTTTTCTAAATTACATATTTACAACGGTAATATCATAACTAAAGCAATGAGTAATATCGCATCATCTGGAAACTTTTTAATGTTCTTTTATAGCAGGAATTCCCAACCTTTTTCTTGGATTGACCTCCTTTGAAAGAAATGTTTACTTCATCGATCCCGTTATATTTTGTGTCTATAATAAACAGCTTACACAATCAAAACACAAAGAGATGCACATAAAGGTCTTAACATAACAATTTCGTAAACCAAGATTTTCGTAAAAAGTCTCGATTTTCAATAATTGAAGAAGTTTCCGCTTTGGAGTAACGGAGTTTCGAATTTTGTTGCTGTTGTGCTGAGGTTACAACACGTAGCGCGCATTTTAACAAACGGACAATATATTTCCACAGTAGCTTTTGAAGAGAATATTCTCCTGCGTGTTAGCGCAACATTGTGAACACCTAGTTACAGTTTCTTGAGTTTTATAACATTTTAGGATGAACCATATATACGGTTGAAAATAGTATGTCATTTATTATTGGATATTTTGTCGCGTTATGCCAGAAAACAATTAATCACGTTCGGATCGATACTGACACCGCTGGGAGCCCCTATTGTAAATGATAATGACGGAGAGGAGAGATCCAGTAAAAGTTGAAGGTGCCTTCACCGACACTACTTACGAATTACTGTTGATCTCACGAAAGGATTAAAAACACAATATTCAATATCATACGTTTTCTAAAAAAAATCGGCACTACGTTTCTGAAACTTCTTGCAGAGGAAGCCTCAAATTAGTAAACATAAAATGCTGTTTCATAGTGACCGTAAATAAACAAATTTAAAAAATGCTTCTTTGTGCACAGGAATATTCCATATTTTTAGAAAGTGCCACGAAAATGAAATTTAAAATTAGCGGTCAATTTCACTTTCCACAGTTTTTTTAAATAACAGAGAGACGTTGGATTGAAAACGTTGCTAAAAAACAACAACAAATCTGTTTTAAGACACACAATATGGATTTAGAAAATAAAATATATGGAAACGGTATTTTTTCTTTTTTAAAAATATTTCATCAATGGATCAAAATGAATCACATATTACAATATTTTTAGATGTTTCGAAAGTTTTTGACGTTATTGACAATAACATTATGGTTTTAAAATTAGCTTTATATGGAATTCTCAGTATTGCTCTTGATTTAATATTCTCGTATCTTAAACATCAATCGCAAAGAGTATATATACCGTTCTGGCACGAAAAACTACTTATTTTTTCAATTTTTTGCCAGTCGGGATGGGGGGTCCCTCAGGGTTCGGTTTTACCTTCTCTCCTCTTTCTTTTATTCGTAAACGATATGCCCTCGTTCACTAAAAATGAAAGAAAAGTTCTGTTCTCTGATGACACATATAATCTTCGCAAAAACCATGCAATAAATATTTGGATGTCAAATCAGTAGTTCACGAAGGAAAAACAGTTTTAATACTGTTTGCATTGAAAATGACTAATATGCAGTTAGCTTATGTTAAATAAAGAAATTTTCTAGGTCTCTCAATCCAGTCAAAACTCAATCCATATAAAAGAATTGAACACTAAATTAAGTTAATTATGTTATCAAAATAGGTTCTGATGAAAATGCATCCGTTTCATCAAAAAATTTAAAAGAAGGAGAAGTTTATTTATTTAAATTGTTGCCTGAAAAGTTGAAACCCTTTTAATAATTAAATATAGAAAACATTTACAAAGGAATGGTATTGAAAATGAGAGGTGATTCTGA